TTTTTTTTTTTTTTTTTTTTTTTTTTTTTTTTTTTTTTTTTTTTTTTTTTTCGGATAATTTACATAAAAATCCAATGCTCGAAACAAATGAGGTGTTTGTAATGGATGGTGCGGATTATTTAGCTTCGACACTGGCGCGTAATTGTTCATTGGAAATTGGCTCGCTCGATCGGTCGACCGAATAAAATTTTAATTTATACGAAAAATAAAAAAACAAAAAAAAAAGGTTCACCGAGCGTAGGGGGAAAAAGACGGTGCGCTTTCACAGCGGGGATTCTCAGGAGGATTGGTCGTGGGAGGCGGATCGTCAGGGTAGCCAGGACAGCGCGACCAAAGATTCCGGCATAGAGACCTCGAGCAACTTCACGAGCAGCGAAGACAGCAACAGGGGCGACCTGCCCAAGGTACTGCCCCGAGAAGCTTCTCTGCTCTTTTTTTTTTTTTTTTTTTCCCCCCCGGGTCAATCGATGGGACTGAGCCAATTTTTTTTTTTTTTTTTTTTTATTTATATTTTAAAAAACAAAAGAGAATCTGTCCCGCCGAGTGATTATCGATGATGTCGATTTTCGGTGAATTCAATAAACAATTGTAAAGGTTGATAAAATGAGTGATAAAACCGACTTGTTGGATCAGAAAATCGACATCGCTCCAATAGGTAGTCAAGTAGAGTATATTTATACAATAGAGCCGCCGATCATTTTTGTACTTTGAGAACTTTTTTTTTAATAGTAGAATATGCTAGGTACAGTCTGTTGTTGATTCATGAAAAATCATTCGCCTGCTCGATTAAATAATAGCTCCTTTTTTTCACTCTTTAGATATATTCATTGAAAAATTTCGCAATATTTAGTCCAGCAAGCGAGGATTATTGCTTTTTCTTCGTTATGAGACGCTTTTTTGAGTGATTGCAAGGTTTTTTCGTAACGCTTTTCACCACTAACGTACAACAATAAAGTGTATGCTTTTTTCACAATTCATTAAACGTAGAGGCTAAGGGGAGATTCTATGATAAACAACAAAATGAGACATCGACTTGGAGAACATACGAAGCAGCAAAAACAGCTTATGCGCAAATTTTAAATTGTCTATAGTATAAACTTAAGTACAAGCCCCTAAACATTAAAAGAAATCACCTAATCTTTCCCTTGAAAAAAAAAAACAAAAAAAAAAAACGATTTACAGACCGTAAAACGGTAGTCAAAAAATATGTATTGCGAGCACACGTAATTTCCAAGCTAATTTCCAATAAGTACATTATTGCCTCTCGATTCGACCTTTTTTGTCTACTTGTGACTCTACTACGTAACGTACAATCTTGCATGACACTCGAATCACAGCTGCTGCTATAATACTACACAACTTCCCTTTCGTATACACACTCATTTTTATAAAAATGTTTGACACTTGATAAATGGATACGTTGTAAATACAGCCAGCCGATTCGCATACACACTATACGTACCACAGTCGAATTTCCAGTGTAAACGAAACACACTAGCACGCATCACCGCATGAATTTGTCATCCTCTAATTGTGTATATAGTCTGTGTAAATGTTTATGGCAGTGCATTATTGTACATACCGAGCTTGCTTTGTCATATAGTCACTCGAATCAGCTTTTTTAATCGCCCAAGTACAGCTCGTGCTAGCGTTTTTCCATTTTTCCGCGACAAACAAAAAAAGTATGGACAAACGCTAGCACTAGCAAATTTGTACGCATTTCACGGTAGAACAATGAAAAAAAAAAAAAAAAAAAAAAAAATTGTGGGCCCCATGGGTCAATCTATCTGTGTGTGTGTCCCTTCCCCGGAACGGCCGCAGCACCCGGTGCTGCCCTGGCAGGTGAGCAGTGACGGGCAAAAGTTGATCGGCCACATGGTGCTGCGCAAACAGGGGGGCGCCCAGAGCAGTAGTAACATACTCGGGCTGAAGGTCGTCGGCGGCAAGTTGCTCGAGGACGGCTCCATGGGCGCTTTCATCGAGAAAGTCAAGAAGGACAGTCCGGCGGACCTCGAGGGACAGCTCAAAATCGGTGAGAGACCACACGTAGCGATGAAGGGCTACTTATCGGTCCCACGGACATTTTTGGCATGCCTTTATTTTTTTTCTTCGGATCCACCAATTTTAAACCACATTTAGTTTGTTTTTATTCTTTCCCCCCGTCTTTGTACGCATCTTACATGAATAGCCTTTAAAATTGAGGCTGGAGGCATTCACCGTAAATCTAGCTTGCATCCACCGGCGTTCAAACGATCACTGTTTAAAAACCCTTGACTCGATATCCGTAATCAATAGATCCTTTCGGAACTCCTTAAAATAAGAGAAAAAGACACCGTATACCATAATGAGAAGGAAAACCGATGATGTATCTCGACGAGCAGGCGACGAGGTGCTGCAGTGGAACGGCCGGTCGCTCAAGGGCAAGAGCTACGAGGAGGTGAGCGACGTGATAGCGATGTCGCGCACGGATCCCCAGGTGGAGCTGGTAGTGGCGCGCGACTACCTGCCCGGGAAAACGGACGACCCGAGCATGGCCAGTGCCAAAGCGTTGCACCATCATCAGCAGCAGCAGCAGCAGGTGGTGATGCCCGGCAGCCCGGCGGCCTCGTTGAACACGAGGCGTTACGCCGCCCAGAACCAGTGGCGACAGAAACAACAGCTCGATGCACAGCTTACGCCCCAGATGCATCACAAAGGTGAATAAACACACGATGACTATTTTCCTGTGATTTTTCTTTTCTTTTTTTTTTTTTTTTTTCGTGAGCTCTCGGATTTTTATCGCGTTGGTATCTTTAAATCATTTAAAATTAAAAAAAGAAAAAAGGTAAGGCATTCGTTAATACGTTGTTCGTTTTTATGGACGTATACTTACACTTGTTTTTTCTAAATAATCATGCGAATGCTGCACTGGCGAATGAAATTTTATCGATCGGATGCAATAAAATTTTTATAGAAAATTTGATTGTTTTTACGATTTTAGATTTTCAATTTTTCATACATCAACGACTCGAGTTCCTTAAAATGTGTATTAGTTGTACGATTGATTAGCAAATCGTTATTATCTCTTACTGCACAATAATATATACATATTTATTGTACTTATGCCTGACATACAAAACATCATAGATTACTTAGATTGTTTATTTAACAACAAAAAATATGTAGTATGATAAAAAGTAAATTTAACAACATCTAGAAATAGTTAGATAGTTTTAGAGAGTTAATTGAAAATACTTTTGCACGATTTCCCATTAATCAAAACAATACACGTACATTTGAGTTCTAATTAAACTTAAAATAATAATCAATTGGACAAATAAAATTTGCAGTAGCGTTGAATTTAGTTTACCTCACGACTAGTTGACATTACCTACTTATATCCCTATTCCAGTTGGTTCGACGGAATAATTATATTTTTATAGATTATATGTTGTTTCGCATTCCAGGTCTTAAGAAATGTATACTTTGGGGTAGGCACGCTCTTTTAAAAATCAAAATGTGTTTTTAACTCCTAATAAGTTGTTTACTGTTTTCTTCCTTTGTACACGAAATTGATGTACCTATTCTCCTACTTCCTTGTATTATGTACACACATATATTTAGATAATATTTTTATACTCCAGTGAGTTGATTGTTTTCCTTACTTGTATCCTCAAATTTATTGGTATATTCTCCTGTTAATCATGTATAAATATAAATAAACAATAAATACGCATTTCTAGTTTACTTCTGTAATATCCTTTGAATGAAATCGTTACATCATCGTAATCTATGGTACATCTCGTCATTATTTCGATGCTTTGCATTAGATTTCCATCTATTTTATTTCATAAAAATCATTACTATACCCAATCACATAGAAGCCACAGTTTTTAGATATCAAAAAAAAAGTAGAAGTAATGCAAATGCACCCCCTTTAAGCTGTTTTTTCTCACGTTTCCTCATCTGTGCAATCACATGGCTAATTTTATTATACATATATACATATATATCCTCATGGGAGCAACAACCACTGTATATAATACTTGAAAAACTATACTATTACTATGTACTTTAAACGCTTACTATATTCTGTCCCTACGTCAATGTCAGCACATAATATGGGAGAGCCTTTGTTTTCCAAAAGCCTGGAAAACCAATTTTCCAAAAGTCTTTAAACTCGTAGTGAACTGTCTCTACAAGTATACCTCACTACCCTCGAATATATATTATATATCTGTGTTTGCGTGTGCGTGTGTGTCACCGACCTCGCTAAAAATGTAACTCTAGTGTTAGTATGTTCTGTAAGACCAGGTACAGTCGATGTTATCCTTGGGCTAAACACCTTAATGCTTGGCGCTACAAGCGAATCAATGACTTATAATTATTCATCAAGAATAAAATAAATACTCGCCCACATCAGTCTTTAGAGTTGCACATTTTTTTGGATAGCTCTAGTGCAGGCATAGAAAAAACGGAAATAAATTGCCGTGTCTTAGTGTCTCACGAAAAACTTATACACCCTCCCTACAAAAAAAAAAAAAAAAAAAAAAAAAAAAAAAAAAAAAAAAAAAAAAAAAAAAAAAA